CAAAACTGGTGTAATGTGCTCTCTTTTGCCTGTACTGGTTAAAAATCAGGCTGCTGCATTCTGGACCAGTTGTGGTCGTGCAATGGAGGTTTGACTGATACCAAACAGGAGTGAATTGCAGTAATCAAGCCTAGATGTAATGAATGCATGTATTACTGTCTCCAGGTTATTTTTGGACAATATGGGCTTCAGTTTAAACAGCCGCCTCAGTTGGAAGAAGCATGATTTAACAATCATGTTTACATGATTGTTAAGTTTCAGGGAAGGGTCCATTATCACTCCCAGATTAGTGACTCTTTGTTTTTCTGACAGGGTTAGAGTAGAAAGGTCGATGCAGTGGTTTGTGATTGTGTTGTTGGGAGGGAACAACATGACTTCAGACTTCTTTTCATTGAAACTTAAGAAATTTAAAGCCATCCAGTCCCTGATGTCAGCTAGGCAGTCGAGCAGCGGTTGAATAGAGCGTGTGCCATTGTGTCTTAGTGGGAAGTAAATTTGACAGTCATCGGCGTAGAAGTGGAAGGGCATGTTGTGTTACCGGAAAATAGCACCAAGCGGCAGCAAGTCTAAAGAGAATAGGAGGGGACCCAAGATGGACCCCTGCGGAACCCCCCATTTAAGCTCTGCCGCTGCAGAACTAAACTCCTTGATGGAGACACAAAAGGATCTGTCAGCGAGGTAAGATCTGAACCAATTGAGGGCTGACCCTGTGATGCCCACCCACTGCTCCAACCTAGCAATGAGGATCTCATGGTCGATGGTGTCAAAGGTGGCTGTGAGGTCCAATAGGACAAGCAGCACAGAATCACCAGTATCAGTGGTTAAGAAAATGTCATTAAAGACCTTCAGCAGGGCAGTTTCAGTGCTATGGAGAGGTTTAAAGCCAGATTGGAATAGCTCTAAGATGGCGTGGCCCTCCAGGAAGCACTTCAACTGGGACTCGACTATTTTTTTCCAGTAGTTTTGAAACAAATGGGAGTTTGGAGACAGGCCGGAAGTTGGATACGACTGAGGGGTCAAGGTTTTTTTTTTTTTTTCATGAGAGGCTGGACAGCAGCATGTTTAAAGGTTTTTGGCACCACGCCAGTGGATAAACTACTGTTTACTATGGCAAGAATGGACAGACCTAGAGTATAATAATGTGTTGGATGGGCAGGCTGGGTCAGTTTCGGGCTTTTGATTGCGTTGGCGGACGCTCGTGGTGGATGATCCAATTTAGATCGCCAGCCGCGCACGTGTGTTGACCGGTCGGTTGAAAGAGGTAAAAAAAAGTTCAGTTGAGCTTCAGCTGGACCACTACCAGCGATCCAGCCAAGCCCAACTGGACTCATCCGCTGCGTCGGCGGAAGAGCGTGGCCGACGGCTAATAACTACAATAACTATAATATTATAGCTATAATAATCTGCTGACTCTTGTTAATAAACAAGAAATCTTATATCTTCCTATCTTTGAAATGTGTTTTTAAATCATGCCAAACTGATTTGCTTACAAAAGCAGTAAAAGTTTAATTTAAAAAAATGTCTGGTTTTTTTTTTTTGCGGGGGGGGGGGGGGGGGGTCGGGTCTGTAATCACACGGTTCTGGGTTGGACTCAGAAAAAATTATATGGGTTCGGGCCAGGTCGGATTGGATTTTTTAGGCCCAAATGCAACTCTACCCCCTGGGCAGGATTTGAACCAGGGAAACCAGTTTGCTAAGAGGCAGCAGCTCTACCAACTGCACCACCGTGCTGCCCCTTACCCATCTTTAATCATGTGAAAGTTTATAAAACGTTCTCACTCTTCACATCTGTTTTTGTTCCGGACATTTTTCTGAACGTTGCTTGTTCCATAAACTTTGTGCTATTTCAACAATTCATACATCAAAACGTTTGTCTCATTCAGGACATTCCTGCTGGGACTTTTGGCATCTGTGCATTTTGTTTCTTTTAGAAACGTAGCTTTGTCTGCTTTAATAAGAGCTATTTATAAGACAGAGTTTATTGCAGATCCTCAGACTGACAAAGTCTTCTGGATTAAAATTGAAACATCTTAACAAGTTTTTTTTTTTTTTTTGTATCTGTCCAGAGGACTTGACTTAACTTTAAATTTTTCTACCTGGATTATTGAGCATGAATCAGGAGATTTGTCGGCCATGTTTTCCTCACTGAAAATGGAGCTCTTCGCATCCTTCAATGCCTTTGTGATAATTTCAGCTTCCTTCAGCTCATTTGAGCTTTTAACAACTATTTTTATGCTGTTTTCAGCTTCTTTCTAATTTAATCTTTTTTTTAAACCCTTTTCAGCATCTTTCCGCTGAACTCAATTTATTTTCTTCTGCTTTTTCAGCTACATTTTAAGTATTTTTCTGTTAATTTTAGCCTTTTTTATATATATTTTTTCTTTACTACTCTATTACTTTTGTGACCCTTTAGAATAATTTAAACTTTCAAGCTTCTTGCTGCTAATTTCAACTTTTCATTTTTAGCATTTTTTTTTAAGGGAAATACCTTCATGAAGAACGTCTTTGATTCAAGGTAATCTGAGATTAATCAACCAAAGTTGCAAATATATTTCTTAGAAGCTGCTTCTGTCTGTTACCAAAATACAGAATAAACCATTGAATGAATTCGAATGAAACAAAGTAATATCTGAATATTCGTCTACAGCTGAAAAACTTTTGGAGTCCACCCAGTTCAACATGGCCACCACAGTCACGTGGCTTCAGAGAAAACAAAAAAAACTAACTCAATCAACTTTGCATATATCTGGATGAAATGTGGTGTGGGTGTAGCTGAGGGTCACTCACTACACATACTCTAAGATACACGTCCTGCAAAACATCTTCGCTTTAAACTTTAGCATTAACTGTTGGAGTCAACACTGTCTGTTAGCAAAATACCACATGTGCCACTGGTCAGATTTTTATGAACCTTTCAAAAATGAAATATTGGAGTAACACCTACAACTGGTGAACATTTAGAAAAAATACAATTTTAGATACCCCCTACAGCCAATCAACATTAGCTAACACAAAATTGGGTGGAATTCAGTTACTTTTACAAATACTGAGTGAAGATTTGATGTGGTAGTCAAAAATCCTTTACAACACTGACTCTGAGCATAATATATCATGATACTGGATAAGATTATGTGTAACGTTATTTAGAAGGTTTGACCATAATAGTTAAAACGAGCATCTATTCACTGTCAGGTTAAAGGGAGTGATGGTTGGATCATCAGATGAGGTTCTTTTAGGCAAATCATATGACCAAAAAACAAACAGATTGCTTTCAGAGTATTTGTCTTCTCAGTCCTCATTTTCCTCTTCCTTCCTTATCCTCCATCCTGAAGCCAAACTTTCGTTCCCTCTTGTTCGTGTCTTTTTGTTTTTGTTCACTTGGACCTCATCCTCCATTCCCACGCTGCCCAGAACCACAGAGGGGAGGGACTGGTGCCAAGTTGGCCCAGCTTGAAGGCCGGGGAAAGACAGTTGTGTTAAGAGCAAGTGGTTCGTAAAGAGACGAGCGAGGACTGAAAAAAGATCTAGAAGATGAGAGGAAGGAGGCTCGTCACGTGAAAGATAAGTGACAGAGAGCAAAAGAAGAGTGGAGGCGAGGAGGGGAGCTGAGGGCATCGTTTGATGGATTATCTGTTAAAGTGCAACGCTGCACCGGCGTGCAGTCTTGTTCAGCACCAATCTAATTTAGGAGAAGCGGGCCTCGCTGCTGCACACAACAAAAAGGACTGTGTGTGCATGTAGGGGGAAGGTGATCAGATGCTCACACACCAATCCAACAATGCAGAGAGCTTTCCCTGCTGCCACCCACAGTGAAGTCACTGGAATAGGTGCATTCAAAAATATCACAAATAAAAGAAGTATTAATTTTTATTGACCAATCCTTACTAATTAAAGCTAGAAGGAGCAGAGAATGGTTCGTGAGATTCTGCAGACAAGCTTCAATCGGCAGATTGCTCCAAGAAGTAGCCCAGATCAGTCTGCTGGAGCTCTGACAGCAGGCCTGATGCTTCGTGACAGGACCGTCCAGCCCGTCTCCTCTCATTTCACGGGTCCAAGTGAGAGCACCGCGGCTGCTGCCCTCCGTTTCATCCCTCTGACCACATTAAAAGTGACTCCCGTTCTTTTCTCTTCCCCTTTAGGAGCACCTGGTGAAGACCAAGGTCTCCCCAAACCCTTCTGCTGTCTTTCAAAGTGGATCGAGGGTCTTCAACATCTGACAGCTGCCGCAGGTCCCAGCTCTGCTTTGAGCTCACGTTTTCAAAGAGTCAGCAGGGGAATGTTTCTATTCCACAACAAGAATCTATGCAAAAGGGAATGTAATGATGTGAACACTGTCCCAAGCAGAGATAGGGTGCCTCCATTTAATTCCTCCCTCGTTCCCCGTTGCTATGGAAATAAGAATGCATGTGACATGTAAAACATTATAGTGGTAAATAAAAATGCGTGGTGGAGGGTAAGAATGGAGAGATGGATGTAAGGATGG